CAACACACACAAACACACACAGAATACGCACACAACACAAACAAACACACACAAACACATACAGAACACACACAAGCACATGCACGCACATACACACACACACACACACACACACACACACACACACACACACACACACACAAACAACACGCACAAACACGCAAGCAAACAAACAAACAAAGCAAACACACACAAACAGACAAACGAACGAAACACACACATGAAAACAACACACACAGATCAAAACAATAGTTCAAAACTTCAACCATAAAAAAAAAGCATCATAAAGATAACATGTTATAGGGTCGAGCAGGCGCTACCACACGATAAGCTGGAAGTGACTGCCTGGCACGTGTTATCGGGGTATGCTGACTGGGGGAACCCCTCCGGGCCTGCGCCTCACAAGAGGGTGCCCCCCGGAAAACGCTGGACAGAAGTAAGGTGCAGACGGTGGCAGTATGTGAAGGAGGCCCGAAGGCGACAGGGCAATATCTGCCTTTCCGAGTCGCACTTCGAAAACGGGATTTGGTGTGGGACCCAGGGGAATGGCAGTGGTCGGCCTGTAGGATGCAAAGGAAGACAGTGCAGCTCCAGTGCCTTACCACAAAGAACATCTATAACTCTCTGCTGGATCCGGTGGACATGCGGTGAATCGAAAACCAGATGGGCCAAGAGAGACTGGATCCCGGATGTATATGTCAATAGATGGACTCAGCGCAGATGGCATGAGCCATGCTATTTTGGCTGCCCCGCCGGACCAGAAGCAGGCAGGCCTGCTGTGGCAATTATACCATCTGGCGATCCCCACAGCACAATGGCTTGCGGAAAGGAGTCGGCACAAAGACCAGCTATGTGCAGCGGGCTGCGGCCAAGTGGAGACCATTCCGCACCTCTTTGTGAGATGCCCGGTGGTCTGGGGGTTCTGGGAATATTGGGCGCAGGACATGGCGGACAAAACCCCCTTGGGGGTCACCGAGACAGATGATGCAATTATCCTTCGGGGGGCTTTGATGAAGGTGGACAGATCACAGCCGCAGGACCAGATGGCTTCAGAAATTATTAGAGCAGCAGTGCTGTAGGCACTGTGGACTTTGAGGAATGAGCAATGAAGGCAGCACACTACACCACCACTGCGGGCTTGCCAAGACAGGGCGATGGAGAACATTAGAGTCCCTTCTGCGCAGATTGGCGACGCTGCAAGTATAAAGGAGGGCAGGAGGGAGGCTTTTGGGCACGATTGGATCCTCATCCGCAGCTTCTCACCCGACACCCTCAGACGGGCAAGAT